CTAAGAAAGGTGGTGATAAGCGATAACGTGATGGTAACTTATATGATGGACGATTAGCATAATACAGCAGCAGCATAGAGGCACATTAATTAGACAGTGCATATTGCATCACTAGTTGTTAGCTGCATCTCCATAGACACAAACATTTAATCATTTCTCCTCAGACCTCTCAAATATTTCAGTATAGCCTCTACCAAGCACTTTAAGCAGTTCTCAACATAGACAATTTTTTTGTTCATAGAAGTTACACCCAGAAGTTAATTCCTCCAAGAGTTTACAGTCTAAAAAAGCAAGAGTGTAATGTCTGAGAAAAAGATGTTTTAGTCCAGTGGTTGTCAACCAGGGATACGCGTACATACCCCTAGGGGTACTTGTCGTAGGGGGTATGCAGAACTCTGCGTGCATGCACACAGCTGCAGCACATCACGTGGGCGGCCAGGAGTGAAGTTCAGCTATGTGGAGAGCAGCCAGGTCTGGCTGGTAAATTTGTCGTGTGGGAAGGGATTGGGGCTGGGGCATGGGCTGCTCAGCCAGGAAGGGCCATCGGACTGAGCCATGTCGGGTAGCTCCCTCTGCTACTTGCACTCCCAGGAGGGCAGGGGGGCGGGGGGGGGCAGGTGCCCTGGATCTGCACGCAGGTACTACCCAGCTGGAGCAGAGCGCAGGACAGAGCTGCAAGTGGCTCATCCGGAGGGGCAGAAGGGTGACGGCTCCCACTACTGCACGCACCCTGGGAGGATATGGGAAGTAAGTGCCCCTGGATTTGCACGTGGGGTGTGCCCCCCACACCTAAGTCCCATGTCCCTCCCCAGATGGGCAGTCCCTGCCCCACTCCATCCACCCCACTGTGGCAGCTCACCCTGCACACAAATCGGGGGACACATGCCCCATGGGGATGTGCGCAGCAGTGAGAGCCACTCCCCCCTCCCCCTCTCCAGATGAGCCACTTGCAGCTCCATCCCACATCCCGCACCGCCCCAGCTAAGCAGTGCCTGCCCCTGCCCCATATCCCTCCTCACCACAGACCCTCTATTTGCCCCCTGCCCTAAAAACAAGAAAAAATTTAAAAGGGGGACATGAGGTGAAACTTTGAGACAGAAGGGGTATACTTGTTAAAAAAAGGTTGAAAACCCCTGTTTTAGCTTATTGTTTTTGGTTATCAGTAGTAGCAATATTAATGGCTTGTCAGGACAGAAAGTTATCGTCAGGGATCCAGGTTTTCCATTTCCCACAGAAAAATAGAGAAAACCACGGATTTCCTGTTTTTATCAGAGAAAACGTGGATTTTCTCTTTTAGCAGAGAAACTCATGGATTTCCCCTTTTCGCAAAGAGCTCTGAAGGCTGGCTGAGTTCCAGCCTGCAAGAGCTGTTTGCAAAAGGGGCAAGGAAACCCCCTACCCCTGCCCTGAGTGGAAGGGAGAGGGAGAAGGGTGGGGCCTGATGCTCACACTTAACAGAGGCTGCTTCAGGCTCATTCTTCTTGGAGGTAAGTGGATCTTGGGGGTTGTGGGGTGGGGCAGGACAGTGTGGGGAATCTGGCTGGGGGCTGAAAGAGCAAGGATGTTTGCAGCCAGCTGGGCACTCCAGCCGGGAGGGGTTTGCAGCCTCCCCACTCCAGGATAGAGTGCCTGGCTGGCTGCAAACCCTCGCCACTCCCAGCCGACTACAAATCACTCTTCCCAGCCGGAGTGCCCAGGTGGGGAGTGCCCAAGTTGGCTGGGGGCTGACGGAGCAGGGGGGGCTGCAAACCCCCTCCCTGCCCAGAGTACCCAGGGGGCTGTGAACCTCCCACGCTTCTGGCTGGAGCGCCCAAGCTGGTTGGGGGCTGAGGGAGTGGGGAGCTTTGCAGCTGGCTGGGCATTCCAGTTGGGAGGCAGGGAGTTTGCAGCCACTCCCCCAGACAGCTTGCGCACTTTCCGGCCGGGGGGGGGGGGGGGGGGCCGCCCGGGGGGGGGTGGGGGGGGGGGGGGGTTGCAGCCTGCTGGGCACTCCACACCCCCCTAGAGTGCCCAGTCAGCTGCAAACCCTTGATTGCAAATGCTGGGTTCCCCACCCTACTGCCCTCCCCCAGGCCCTCCAGATGGCAGCATGAGACTGGCATGGCAGGGCACAGCAGGGCCATGCAGGAAAGCTGCCCTGGCCATGCTTCCTCTGTGTGTACGGGGGCAAATCAAGGTTGCGCCCCTCACAGCTGCCCCCACCTGCAGGGGAAGTGTGGCCAGGACTGTGTGGAGCTCACAGTGGCAAGCAGCTTTCATGTACATCCCTCTGTGTGCTGCCGCGTTGGGTTGCACACGCTGCAGTCTGGAGGGCAGCAGGGTGGGGAGCATGATCCCAGAGCGTGCACACACCCTGCCCCCATCCCCCACAGATCTCAGGGGTGCGGGTCCCCTCTGCCCCCCAGGAGTGCACACTGCAGCCAGGAGCTGGCCCTCCCTGAGCCTGCAGCAAGCAAGCAGCAGGGGGGGAGCCGGCTCGTGCTCCTGCTGCAGCAGCTGCTGCCTTCCATTGGGGGCAGGGAGCTGTGGACCTAGATCCCTGGACCCATAGCCCTGGCAGCTGGGGTCCCCTCCGGCAGGGCTGGGGACAGGGGCATTTAATTTGAACCACGGATTTGGGGATTTTTAATCAGAGAATTTGTGATTTTTTATCACGGAAAACCAGGATCCCTGGTTACCATATACTTTTTGGTACATCATAGCAAAAGGCAAGCTTTAAAGACATGGAAGTAAAGGTGGCCGCTTATAGAGTATTTTGATATTACGTGAAATAATGGGAGAAAATGAACAAACAGACAACAGAAGTTAGTCTTCCTGGCGAAACAAAATCAGAAGTCAAACTCACATACTCATAATACGGCAAAAACATAGAATGTGATTAGGGTATGGAGAAAACTGAAGATCATGCATGTATGACACAAGGAAAGAAACATGGAATAAAATCACATAGAAATATTAAGTACAACAAGCCAGGAAGCTCCTTTTTTTTCTTTTCTTTCCTCGTTTTTTTTTGTTTGTTTGTTTTTTTACACATATGGTAATGTATCTCATGCATCCTATTTTTGCAAGGTACCAAAAAGAAAAACAAAAACTTTCCATGGATATGGGTAAATAGCAGAAGCCTGAGGTCTTTAGGGGTGAGGGCTGCACCCTGGAGGCTACATGCTGAGGCTCGTGTGCTGGGGCCCAATCTAATGACAGCACCAGGGAGCACATGGCAGGCCCGATGCAGCATGTTAACTTTGGGAGCTGTAAAGAGCGCCAAGGACCAACCCAGGAAGCTGGCACACAAACCTGACATTTGGGACAGACCAACCCTGATACAGCACAAAGTTGGGGAGGGATGGCTCCCTATGGTTGCAGAAATTTGCAGCAAGGGAGCATGGAAGACTGTGGCTCCCCCATACTGTGGGACTGTTAATTGCTGTGGCTCCCAAAGCTGCAACATTTACTATTGCCACTGCTCTGTCCCTCTCCCCCTAAGTTTCCAGACTCACAAGACTTCCTTGCATACAATGCACACCCAAAATTTCCCCAGCTGGCTTTTAGGGGGTAAAGGGTAGGTGCAGTCTATATGCAAAAAAATACAGAAATCTGTGTAATAACTTGTTGCAATCATGAAGATTGGAAACAAGTTGGGGCTGAAGATGGCTTTTGACAACAAAAACTGAAGTGAAAACTTGGATCCTGAAGACCTGATACCAGGAGCAACAGCAAAATTCAAATACATCTAGCCAGCATAAGGCAAAGAAGGGGCAGATACTAGAATCTAGCCTTTGGGGGAGGCGGGTAAGCCCAGCCCACTACCCACATTGCCACTCAGTCCCATCTCTTCAACATCAACTAATCAATTCCACTAGAGCTGCAGCTACACTGTGGTGCCAAGGCATGTCACTGGGACGTTCCTGAGTAGCCCCAAACCAAATGCAAAACATGCTAGTGAAGCCACCCATGGAGTATCCCCAGCATCCCCACGTGAGTTTTGAGTGGGAGGGAGCACTGCGCTTGACCATGGTGAAGCCAGGCAATCAATTAGGCTAAGCTCTCTAGTAAAAAAAAGTGACTGCCTTCTTTCTTTTTACACTAGACTTGTAATGTCTTAAGTACAAAAAAAAAAAAAAAAATCTACAAATCCCATGGCCCATCTTTACATTTTCCCCACAACCAGCCCCTCAACTCCACAGAGTCATAGAAAAGTAGAGCTGGAAGGGACCTCCAGAAGTCACCTAGTCCAACCCCTGCCTGAGGTCGGATCATCCCTATACAAACCACCCTATACACACCATAATTTAATCTCTACATAACATTACTGTCAACCCTGACAACACAGACCTAAACACCATAACCTGCTGCAGGTAAAGCAGGGGAACCACTGCAGCCAAAGTCCTGCCTCTATGAAATGTTGTCAACAGATGCAGTCAAGAGGGCAGTAGAGGTCCACACCCCCCACTACAGAGGAAAGCAAACCCCACCATGGTCTGTACCAATCTGACCATGGAGTAAAACTCCTTTCTGACCCCAAATATGGTGATCAGGAACCTCCAACAGGAGCATTGGTGCACCCCAGTCACCACTCCTTGGCTGTAGCCAACACCAGTGCCCCTGAGGAAGCTTTAAAAACACCCCAGCACATAGCAGGAGGGGGAGGCAAACCAGCACAGCACAGCAGCATGTAAAATGCCTATATTCTCTTACTGGTGTAACTCCGGGGCAGACAAACTCTGGCCCGGGCCCCAGACTGGGAAATGGAGTTTGCTGCTAAACCACCAGTCTCTGCCTGCATGACTCTGCCCAGTTTCCATGGGGCCAAAGTTTTCACGGAAATCGGCTCCAGCAGCACTGGCAGAGCACGTGGCTGGGTGGATAGCTGCTCCGGGGCTGGGATCTTGCAGCGGTGACAGGCGGAGCCAGGGCAGAGCTGCAATCCGCGGTCCGCAAGCCCCAGGAAGGAGCATGCAGGCAGTGAATTGCAGGCATAGCTACACCTAGATCCTAGTTACCTTCCTCATTGTGACTGTATTAATAGAGAAAGCTTCAAGGAAAAAAAACACAAAACCCCAGCGGTGCACTGGGTGTGGAAGGGAACCATTCCCCTGCATTCTCCTCGAGGGAAAAAACCAAAAACCCCATGGTGCCAGAAAAGAGACAGACATCTTGGGCCTTGCAGCGGCCCTAAGCAGGGAGGAATTTGCCAGAGAAAACCCCTCCAGGCGCGGCCCCGCAGCCTCACGCCTGTGCACGAGGTGCCCAGCGGGACCTGCTCAGCGACTTCCGGCAGGGCCCGGAAAGCGCC